TCGTACGTTTATCTTAACTATGTATAAAATATTTTCGATGCGAATATGTTACACTTACTCTATCATTTATTAAATCTACACTAAATATGTGTTAGCGCTCACTTAACGTCTCTGAGTGACTACTTAATGTATTAGTGTAACCGTTTAAGTAATAATGCAAGGTTCAAATGAAAGCGTTGACTTTATCAACTATGCAATTCCTTATGTCTTTACACTTTGTTGACATTTAGCGTAGAATGCAGCTGCCGACGACGGTTGGCTTCCGACATTACCGCCCCCTCACTCATGAAGTCAAGAATGCATGTCGAGGGCTTTCTGCGAATTTGCAATGTAAAAAAAAGTTAACGCATTTTAACCGCCATCGTACGTTGTAATAGTTAACGCAATTAACATATTACATTTTAAATGTTATGTCAGTATAGAATTTCTTTTTACCCTATTAGTCTGAGGAAAGATCGGGAAGGTGTAGAGAACCTGGCGGGGAAAGTGACGTATAGGATAGGGAAATATCTCCTATCTCTGCGTCCCCCTTTAACAATACGGATATCTAAGGGCAGAGATCGCTTCGTCATTTTGGCGAATTGTGGTAACCACACGCTCGTTTACCAACGTCTGTTGTATAATAATTGAGACTTAGTTATCAATGTCTAGTTAGATTATCTAAAGTTATCTAAAATAGAAAACAAACGGCGGTTCTTGTTCAGAGAAGTCGAGTTATTCATTATCAAAGTTTAATTTTAAACTGTAGTTTGTCGATATTAAACAATTTGGGCTTCAAGCGAAAGGGAAATTAATGAGCCGGCGAGGAGTTTGTAAAGTGAAGCGATGACTGGTGCCGAGTGGTGGCGAACAGTGGCGAATGTTGCCGAGTGAACTCTGATACTTCGGCTGCCAATTAACTAAATTAACAGTCCAATGTTTAAGACAACGGCTCCGTTCATGAGTTTGCCAACAAAATTATTCCGCTTAAGCCACTTGCCTGTTTGAACTCGCTTTTGATAACTTTTCACATTGTTTATTTCATAAAATTTCATTGTTTCAGTAAGTGGAAAATATTTAACATTGTTAGTACACATAGATATTTATTCATCTCTTAATTATCATCATTTCGTTACTTTAAACTAATTTGCATAAGTTAAAAATCGAATCGAAATTTCAATTTGGATAAAATTCAATTGTTTTTCGCTTAACTATTGAAAATCCACACAAACTGTGTACACACAAGTACATCTAATACAAGCGCAGCGGTCGCTCCGCAAAGTTTCCAGCTACTTCTATTTTGTTTTTGTATCGGAAATACACTAACGAAGGCTGTTGCGAGCCTTTCTAGCATTTCAAAAGTTTTTTTACTCTCTCGCTGTGGTTATCTCCGCGGCGCAACGTGTGCCCGTCAGAGGTCGCTACTAAATTTTTATTGTTATGTTTATCAAATCTATAAAAGTTATGCAAAATATAATCCATTTCCAGTTATGTTTGTTGTCTATATTTTTATTTGTGCCCACCATGAGCACATTGTACTGTTACGGAAATGGTTATTGTTCGTGTTGTCTCGATGTACAAAACATTTAAAAGTTAGTGTTCAAGGTGGAACATCATCACATATTGTATCTATCGAAAACATTTTTTTATCTCAGGATATGTGATGTTGTCAAGGGATCGTTAACGAGAAAGATAAACGAAAGAAAGATTTATGAGGAAACACAACATTATAAATGTAGACGGCAATTTTGTATATACATACTCTGTGGTAAGCTTAGTGTCTACCGTACCTTATATAAAATACAAAGGTGGACAGAGACTTGAGGGCGTATACTTTTACATATTTTACAAGATTTTAAATTAGTTTTAGGTATCTCAACTTTTAGCGTCATTCGACTGACGAGCGATACCGGGTCGAGAGTCTTAGCGAAACAAAGGGAAACTGGAAAATGCTTTAAATATTTAAAGTCTGCTTGCTACCATGAGGGGTCTGAAGTGGCCGCGCCGCTGCACGCTGCATACTGCATGTTGCACGCTACATATTCCTCGCGTCTTATTCCATTTTTGTTTAGTTGACGTGGATTACTTTGCCTGTTCCAAACACAACACCGAACATTAATCTAGTATGCTGTGTTATATATCCTACAACTTACGTAAACGAGCGAGCGTCTAGCAGTTAAAGGGATGTCTTTCACAATTCTGTTAAAATATTTTTGATAAAATAAGACATCTTTCAAATATTTTGGATTATAGCCCTTCTAAAAGTACACCCCAACGCTCCATAAAACTTCTCAACCCCCGATGACCTTCTCAATATAATTATCACGTATTTATCGCTCCACTTGTCCCAGTCGTCGGATGTTCCAAAGAAAAAGCAATTTAACTTAAGCAATAAAAGTTACATATAATGTTTGTCCATCGAAAATTTTTCACTTGAGACAGCTTCAGACGACCTTGTAGATAGAGGTTCTTGTTTTTCGAAACAATTAAACAATTACATGTATTCTTTACATGAAATATTCTTCAGTAGTTTCTTAGACATTTACTTAAAACTATATTATATGAAACAAACGCCCACGAAAAATACGTTCTTTAAAGATGAATTTATAATGCCTCGTGTCATTTACATACGCGGTGTGCTGGCGTTTTACCTTGGCTTTACCTTGTGCCACCATTTGTTCGCTTGAGTTTTGGTACCATCAGTTGTATTAATAAGGCAGACAATACATATACTAATGTTAATAATTATCTGCTACTATTAGATGCAATACTTATAACGCTCTGTTGTTATTTCGATATTGTACAAGTGCTCTTATATACGTGGTAACAAAGTGCGAGTATATCGTGACTGTCTCAAGTTGCAGTTTACGAGGCGCTATGTTTATTTCATGGCACCTCTGCCATCTCTGATGCATTGCCCCAGCAAGGCTTCGCGCACGCACAGCGCGCGGTCACCGTGGGTGGAGGGGGCGCGGGGGCGGATGTTTATAGCTGGTACCAACGCTACGTTGTAGGTTGTTTATGCAACTTCCGTGTTACTTTGTAACCATCTGCTACAATACTTAAAATCTTTTGTGTTCTCGTAAAAGTTATGTATTTTATTTATCAATATCATAAGTTATTAAACTCTTAATGCGATAGCTTTTGTCCATTGCGTTCAATCTGCAGGAAGGCGGGCTCAGTTCAAGGCAAGTGAATTCGCAGTCAATTATGTCTTTGTTCGTAATTGAATCTAAAATGACAAAGCGCTTGTAACTTAGCCGTAACTTAGCGCTCAATTAGTTGCAAAGTGAAATTCCTCGTCCGAGTTGAAAACTTTTACAACTAACAGTCTATTCTTTGTTTCCGGTGAACTTTCTTCCTTCATTAAAAGCTCATAGAGCTTTTATAGTTAAATGCTCGTTAGAGCTAAGCGACGTTAGCACTCAACGCATTTCAACCTCGCTTTTAGTACTTTTTGGAAGTGCTTGTATTTCTTAGAAACCTATCCCGTTTTAAGAAAGCGTCGGCTGGATGTCGCAGGAATTGCTTATTTCTTCATATTTTTTATTACCCAACGAGTATATCTAAACGAAGAAAGTACAATTACCTGTAACAAAATATTTGTATTTAAAAAACTATTACACACTTCGATTTCTTCCTTTCAATTTTGCTATAGTTGCATAATTCAAGTAAAAAATATTCAATTAGCAGCAATCGTAATCGTAAAATTAGTTAGAAAAAACACCAACTTCGCCTGTTTAGGTCTGCTCACCTTATTTGTGACATAAAATGCGCTGCGCAGCAAAAACTGAAACGATATCACTATAAATGTCGGTTTACTATTGCTTCATACGGCTTTACTTCTAAATTACTTGAATTATTGTAATTATATTTGGTTTATGGAGTTAAATATTTCGATCGTTCGGAACTTGGAATAATAATTTCGTAACGCAATACGATATCATTCTGTATTTTAAACAAAAACATGGAAATACTAATTCACTTTGTAATGTTCGCCGCAAATGAGCCATGTGCGTATACTTAAATCGGCTATTAGCAAAAACGACTTCTGTAATTTTATATAATCTCAGTAATTAAAGCTGTCCGCTTGTGAGAATAAAACTGGCTGAAGAGTAATTACGCCTCTTGAAGTTAATGTACATTTTTGACAATGGCCGCGACTTTGAAATTACCTTGCAAGTTTTTTCTTCAAAGATTATTGTTGTTGGTTGGTGACTTTTTGCTTTTGGAAACTGGTTGGAGAATAAAATTACCTTCACAGTATTTAAGACAATGGATCAAAAAACTCTGTAGGGGTTAAATGAATTATGTTTTTTTATTCTTTGTCCTATATTAATCTTTTTTAGTTGCACATGTTTTTATGTTAGCATTGAATTGTTCTCATGTAACAAATTATGTGAACCAAATATTTATTGATTTTTTTATGTTGTGGGAAGTAATATACTAAGACAATAGATTATTATAATAATAACTAAACATTGGTTGTTTTTATTTATTGTCATTGTTTATGTGTGTAAATTCCATTTTAAGCTGATGTCATCGCTGACGTTATTAACAAAGTTTTGTTGTGTTAAATAAGTTGAGAAATACGAACATTACATAAGAAGTTTACTTTATTAAAGGAGGTCGGCGACTGAAGCGATTTTGAACTCAGTTTTACAATATTTAAATTTGAAAAGTAAAAAAGCTTTAACTTTATTTTACTTTGATTTGTTTACTTTACTGGGAAATCAATTTATTATTATCATCTATTTTATTAGCAGAAAAGTATATTTTGAAATCAAAAGTAAAAATAATTTAATGTATCCAGTAAAAGGTTCACTTCCACCAATTTGCCTCACGAACATTCGCAAAGAGATAAATTTACCAAAGAAAAGTCATCATTGTAAAAGTTTGTCCAACTTTCGAGAAATGGATTATTGTTAGCGCATGAAATATGACGCGAATTACGTATCTTATGAACGAAATCAATTTCGGATTTTAGACATTATTTATTTTAATAAGAATACTTTTTCCAGATACTGCTCTCAACAAAGAGGACAGCAGCTTATTCTGATAACTGTACAGGTATGTTAAACTAAATCATTTTATTGTTCAGATTAAATGTTTTTGTAGTATTAAAGAAAAAAAACTTATTTGGTTTGGTTTAGCATAAATACTATAAGTGCCCTGGTATTAACAATTTTGGGAGCGAGTACAACCTCAAGTTATACAGCCAATTAAAAGTTGTCGTGGCGAACTTAAGTGCTGCCCTCACCGCTTCATATGCAGGCGAGCGGACATTGTCGGTACTACAAACTCTTGACGTTATTCCAATTCAAAGGTAAACCCGATTTATAATTTTGGGATATTCCTAATATTTCCGACGACGCTTAGATGTGTGTTGTATTCAAAGAAACATAGCATAAAAGTTAATACAAGAGGTCACAGACACCCTAAAAGTTAAGCCCAGTTGATATAAAATCAATAAAGAATTCCATCGACCAAAATTCAAGGAACGACGAACTAAATTTCAATTAAGTTATAAACAAACGCAATTTATGGCTAATTGACTTAACAAACAGAACGAGTTTCCTTTTGAGCTTTCCTTTCTTAGTAATTTCGTTAAAATATTGAAAATCAGTAACTTTCCTTTTGGGAAGTTATTTATTAAGAATTGAGTTCGTTTCTATTGTACTTATGTCTATATTAAAGACATATAAAGAGATTTTCATTAGAATTAGATTGAATTGTTAACTTAATTTTATTTCAATAAACCTGCACATTACTTGTAAGTTAGTAGAGAAGACATTAATGGGAGGAGTTGTTGTATTTGTGATAGTTACTGCTGACTTATCATTGTAGTTAAGTTGTCTTAGGTCAGCATTACCATACCGCACGCTGTCGGCGAGCGGCGACTTCCTTTGTTCAACAACACAACACAAAGGAAACTGAAAATCTTCGACATTTTTAATTCAGACCTCGCTCGCTACTGAATTGGATTTCAGATTGCTAAATACTTTCACAACCGTTGTTCTGTTTAAACTTTAATTTTAGTTTAAAAACTACAGACTAAGACTATCTCTCGCTTTCTCGACTATTTTATTTTATTAGTACGGCACGTGTTTAATTAATGAAATTGCCAAACATTTTAATCTAAGAAAATGTCGTAGGCTCAACATAGAATCTTTGTACTAATTCTAAATTCGAAATTTTATGTTAATATTTTTCTCTTTGTATGAAATCCCGTCTGTATTAAACCGACTTTTTTTTCTTAGTAACACAATGTCCTATTTGCTTTATAGGGCAGAGCGAGGTGTCATTATATATGACACTATAGATGGAGGTGTCATAGTGTCAGGTTACGTGTAGTGTCGACCGCGCATAGCATACATTGTTATACTCGTATGTATTAGACTTTACGAGCAACAGCTATTAATAAAACCTTTTCGGTTTTGCTTCAAAATTGACATAGTTATGTGTTAAAAAAAATACTCAGATTGTTTAAAACCTATTGCACTAAAATAAAACTGCTAGTTATGGCGCAAAATATTCGTTATAAAGAAGCAATAGAGAGCAGAAGAAAGGCATGCCCTCGCCGCCAGCGGGCGCTGTGTCGGGAAGTCGGGAAATGGGTCGGCGAAGAGAAAGCCGCAAGTCGGAAGTAGTTGACAAACGACGAGATCGATCCCGCAAATAAACTATTTTCTACGGATATTACTTGTTTTGACGTTGTCCAGTTTTGATTATTTTATATTAATTTTAAACAAACAACATTGAAAATTTACCGCTTTTACAATTTTTTCAAACATATAACAAAACATTCATCTACGCATCTTCTTAAGTTTGCTTGTACAAAAATTTTTCATTTGTTTACCAAAACCTTTACAACTTCTCTAAACAGTTAAATAACTGTCCGAGAACAAAACTCAGCGGATGTCAGCGACATCTGTTGATTTATTCCATTAATATTTACTTGTTTACAACAATATGAAGATCAAGATAAACATCCTTTACCTGTGACATATTTTTCTATTTACTTGACGGTAAAATATAACGTTGTTTTCTAAAATTACCACTGACCAATAGTCAAATGAAATTTATAAATGTGCAGATAGGGGAATTTGTACTCTCGTATTGAAAAGAGTTGCACGTTTCTGACCAGCAGTTTGTGAGAAATTGTGTCATTCATTTCTTGCTTATCCTGAATCAAAATTAATCCTACCATTTGTCTTATTTAATATCTATTTTTCGACTGTTGTAGCAGTTAAGTGCTAACTTCATAATACTTATTTTGTAATAAGCAAATGGACCTCTTCGCGCCATTTGCATCCAAGATCCACACGAGCGAATTAACTTAGTTTCATTAGTTAGAAAGGCTTTCCTTGTAGTGTACGGAAGTGCGCGTCTATCAGCTAAGCATTTGTTGTTATTGCCTTGTTTATATCGTGTGCACCAGTTATCTATATCACAAGGGGATCCAATGCAATGAAGAAATAACCTTTAAAGAAATTAAGATATCTCATTTAGTAATTGGTTTTGAAGTTGATGGCTTCACGTCTAAATCTCTGAATACTAGTATTTTTGGTTTCTGATCTATTTTGGTTTTGTAAAACTGACACTTTTGTAGAAGCATGTTCATTTAGAATTCCACAAATGATGAGTTTGACAGGCCTAGTTTACCTACTTTAAGAATTTATCGATTTGTTAATAATTCGGAGCGTATGTTCAGAAAGAGACACAAATAAATTGTAAGTTTAAATCTACATGCATATCTGTGTATGTAGTTCCTCTGATGTAATTATGTGAGTTCCCGCTACTCTTTTGCCCCTTCTCTTATAGGAAAATCATATATTTATATAATGTGTCCATATGCATAGTGAGAGTTTTCGTACTATAATGTTGATTTAACGAGGCCGGCGGCGACATTAGCATACCAAATGCGCTCAAATTGTGCGTAAAACGTTATTACAGCGACGTAACATGAAATGATTGCAGAGCGACGGCGGCGCGGGCGGCACACTTGTGTGCTCTGTGCAATACTTCAATTATTATTAATATTGTAAAAACGAGTATAATAAGCATGTTGTTAATGTGCCTAAGTTTCCAATCATTTATGGACATTATGTTACGGTTTACGATTTACGATTTAATTGTACTTAATTGTAACAAAATTCGATGGTCGGCAAATATTCTAGAAAAGTGTTTGTTTTATTTTCCTATCTTTGGGATATGGAATATATTGTACTTAGGAAGTGAAAATAATTCGGATGAATCGCACAGTTTCGACGTTCTCAGTTTGTCCGAGAACGTCCTTCGCAATTAGCTCGTAGATTTGTTTTAATTCTCCGGGGCAATATGTTAGTGGGGTCTGGTGCGAGGGCGGGGGCGGGGGCGGAGGCGAGCTGCCGAATGGAGCGGTTTGTACACGCAATCTGTACGTATTGCCACTATATTGAAGATACCAAATTAAAGCGTGGGTTTTTTAATTAGTTTTTCTGTTTATTTACGTCGCTACGAGGTTCTAAATTTATTTTCCTTCGCTACGAGATTCAAAATATTGCAAGATATCTCTCTAAAAATACGGGCCACATATTCAAAACTAAAAGGGTAACTAATACAGTATTCTGTTCATGTATATGGGGTGTGTTGTCGCAGGAAAATACCTTCATAAACCTATCAATACGTCGTTTAGCTTACAGCCTTCGAATATTGTCCCGAGACAAAGGAATAACAAAACTAGGTCGTGTAGACAGCGCCCCGCCGCTCCCCGCCGCGCCCCGCACTGCCCCGCACCGCCCCGTACCGCCTGCCGTCAACACTGGACACTGACTCCGGACACTAACTCCGGAATCTACGACATAAACTAGCTAAAATAATTTACACTAGTCACTAGTCATTTAGTGGATAAGTTTTGATAAATTAAAAGAAGCAGATATAATTGTATATTTTAGGTAGTATTGCAAGATATTGTAATATGTTGGTATAAAACGCTGACTATTTCTGCTCACAAATGTAGACTCTAGACCAAATTCAAATGAAATTTCATTTCTTTTCGCTTATAAGTCGTGCGGCAAAAAAGCTTTTCGTACTCACACAATGATAGATAAAGCAAATCGTAAGTTAATAGAAGAAAGAAATATTTCGTTTGATGTGCTCCAGAGGACTTGAATACGATGATTTAATGTCACTTAGGCGACTGTCACTTTCTCCGCCCCTTCGCCCCCTCGCCCCCAAACCCGGTCCCGCCCCCGCCCCCTTGTAGCGAAGAACTTGACAAAAACGTTACCGACAACGACATATATCTATCAACTTTCTTTGCATGAAAACTTTTTTTTTCCTTACTTCTAAATAAGTCTATATTTGTCAAAACGTTAAAAACGACTTTGTTAGAAATCTGGAACATTTTATTTACTCATTTATATAGGTAAGTCATAATGTGTCATTACCCGTAACTAATAGATGGACTATACTTAGTTACTTTAAAACATGCTTCATATACGTGAGTTAAAAAAAACATATCGACGAATTGAGTACCTCCTTCTTTTGGGAAGTCGGTCAATTAAAGGATCCCAAAGAAATATTATAGCTCCTACTTATAAAGCTAAAACAAAAGGTATAACTAAGGTGACATGTTGAGGCATACTAAGTGAGTGCGTGTTTCGATCTTATAAGACAAAACTTTCTTATATTATCATCAGCAGTCACGGTATAAGCTGTATTCATTATATGAACATTTTTGGCGACATCGTCTTAAAACTTGGTGTTTAAATAGCAAAGTGTTCGGAAAATTTTCCCAGAATGTGTAATATACAAGTTCTTTAAGTTACCAAGTTCCGAGCTTCGAATTACTAATAAGAATTTCTCAGTAGTCGCTTTGCGTAGAATTTTGTAACGGTTTGTATGTAGTTTACAAATTCCATCGTACAAACTTGTACCCTTACATAAATTAAATCTCTGTAAAAATAATTTAAACTTTTAGTTTGGAATTTATTAATTTTAAATGAAAGGAAAGCTTGGTCACACTACAGGAGGTACTGGAACACAAATTCAATTATAATTTGAGCAGTTTGAAGTTGTGAATTCCA